AAGGGTTTCCTTTTGACCTGTTTGGGCGCTAGCCTGGCTGCGGGAGTCCCTTGGGCCGGACTCCTCTTCGACGCGTTTCGGGTTGGAGGTGGGTTTGCGAAAAGCCGTGACAGGGTTGTTTGGGCACCTGTGTGGGGTTTGTTTTTGACCTGTTTGGGTGCTAGCCTGCGTGCGGTAAGCCCTTGGGTCGGGCTCCCGCCTGTCTAGGGTTTCTTTTTGATCATTTTGTCGTTTTCGACATGTTTCGGGTTGCAGGCGGGCTTGCGAAAGACTGTCACAAAGCTGTTTGGGATCTGTGCACAGCGTTTCTTTTAGGCTTGGTATCTCTCTCTCTCTCTCTCTCTCTCTCTCTCTCCCTCCTCCCTCTCAGCGCATCTCTATACATCAACACGCATAGGTATATAGCTAAAAATCTGGTTGATCCTGATTTTGATATAGATTACTATACATGCCCGGAACTTCCTCAGAGTGTCTTTTTGAAGCGGATGTGTTTTTGGTTGCGGATGTTTATGTAGTTCACATACCTAAATAAAGGTATGTCGAACAACCGATCCAAAAAGGCAACCACGAGGTTGCGCGTACAGAGATTTGGAGATGGATGACCTAGACCAAGTGACGGGGTTCAGGGTTGTCGGAGAGCTGGCGCGGGCTCCAGAGCATGAGAAGGACAAGCGCAGTGTGAAAAAGCATGTCGGACACAAAGGCTTAGCGAAAAGGACAGCAAGACTGCCGTCTAAAGCTTGGGGCAAGTCAAGAAAATAGACAGATATGCAACATGATATAATGACCATGTGCTTTGAAGTTCTTATTGTGGCATGCAGGCAAAGGATTTTACAGGATCCGTTCGCAATGACGCCAACATCCGTGTTGGGTCGCCGCGTCATGGTGGACCACTCAACTGGTTCAGCCTCTGTTGGCATCGTGGTGAGTCAACGGCTAGACAACTATGTGCAGGTTGCCAACAGTGCCTTGGTGACACAGAGCGGCGCTCGGTGACGGAATGTTTGCTACGTTCTAGGTTGCTGGAGCAGAAGGTAACGATGAAGGTAACGATGTCAACGGATGCGCCGGGCGTAAGGTGCATGCGAGTGGCAGGAGAAGCTCCTCTGGATCGCGCCGCAGAGGTACGTGTTCGCTGCTGGGCATATTGGGTGCAGACACGCAGCGTGCTTCCGTTGAAGTTCGCGGGTAGGTTATAAACTGATCGGTGCGTGGTAGTCGGTTAGACATTCGGGGCATGTGATCTGGGGGTGAGTTTCGCCGAGCAGCGGAAGAATCCAACGTTGGACTTCCGGTCGTAATGTCCAGATCCGCATCCAAATAAGATTAATAGTAGACTCCGTAAACATACCCTCCAAACCCACTGTCATTCGGGGTTTTGAGGACGCAGGGTTTTATGTCGGGAGGACAACCCGATGCTGGGTGGCTACGCGTGCGTAGATGCGTTTGCGGTACCCAGCTGAGGTTGACGCCGCGCAACCGGCGGCTGAGAGCGAGCGGTGCGTGAGGAGTGGGCAAGGGTCTGAGCAACGTGGTTGGCAGTGGTCAGCGGAAGAATGGAACGAATGGCTGCTTGGTCTTGGTCGTTGACGGCGGCAGGGGATCCGAAGATGTTTTGAAAGAGTAGAATCGCAAGTGGCAATTAGCCTGCTCATGGTATAACCGGGGCCGATGCCGATGGTTGGGAAGCTTTTGTTGGTTTCGCGCCGGTTTTTCTTTGCGCGACACCTGCTTGAGATTGGGATCCCGGCACGGAGCATTGAGGTACAGTCAGGAGCCTCGAGGCCGCAGCAGGAGTGCGCACAGATCAGTTTCTTGGCTACAGTGGGTAATTACTGCTGTCCGGGGGTCCGTGCAAATGTGTTGCGCGGAGAGACACCAGCGGGCACTGTAGCATGCTGCTGAGGGATGGCGTAAATTGGAAGTTCACGCAGTTCAAGATGCGCATGCGCTGCGGATCGTGCAGCAGCTCAAAACGTTTGGCGCCTGGGGCAACAGAAGGGTATAATTAATTGGGCAGGTGGAGCCTTCCGTCGTTGCTTTTGGATCCTTGGGGCCGCACAGCAATCCCGAAGGGTTATATTTAGGTGCAATAGACGAACGGGATAGCGGTTCAATTTGTTGACGATGGTCCATAGTATCAAAAGGACAAGGTTTCGCAATGGAATATAGAGCGGATATTCATTACCATTGTGGGAGTGGTACTATATACTTTGTTGCTTTGCCTTAGCCCAAGTTTGTGGTAAGTGAGCAAGTAAAGACAGTTGACAAGTCCGACGACGTGCGCGCATGGGAAAGGTCCTGTACGAGATTTCAACCGGATAGTTTGAATTTTGGTTTGTTTTGTTTTTGCGGTCGGCGTTGCAGCCCGCTGTTCCCAACGGAGGGTGCCACAATTCGCAGAGGGCGCAGTTCACTCCCAACCGCCTCTGACCGAGGAACCGTGGACACGTACCATGATGTTTGGAACAACAAGATCGTGGCACGCTTTGATCTGGCGACCCACGCTCGCCAAGCAATGGCGCAGTATAGTGCGATTGACGGTGAGTATTTGGCTTGGGTGTGACCTAAGGACTTGTTGTTAATTCATAATTGGTGGCAACGGATTAATTCAAATGGAGCTGAACAGGGTTGTCGGGCAGCCAAGGCCGAGGGACCCGTGGGTAGTGGTGGCTGGGTACACACTCTGTAAATTTTTTCAATCCACTGTGTAACCATGGCTTTCTGGTATGCTGCGACTACTTGCATACTGTGCTGAGGTACGGTGCTGAGCGCGCTTTTCAAGCCACTTGTGTAACCATGGGTTTCTGGTATGCTGCGACAACGCACAAAGGGTGCTGGGAGACTGTGCTGAGCGGCGCAGTTGGCGTGGTGAAAAGCAGGGAGCTGCGGGCTTTCCATGGGAACTGGAACCTTGAGTTGCGTGCGCGTATTTCATGCAGCCCAGGTCCGGGAGATTTTGCAATTATGTTCCATGTTGGCGTGAGGCAGCTTTGCCTAAGGGCCAAGCTTGGTGAGTTGACATGCGCAACATGTATGCCAAGACAGCACTGTTGCAAAGTTCGACTCCTCAATGAAGCCGTGCCGTCGCCGGGTCCGTTCCCTTAAGTCGATCGTCCCCTTCACCGGGTATTGTCATGCTTTGGGTTCTTCCCCC